CGATTTTTAAAATTAACATTTAAAAATCGTCCTTTTTTACAATAAAAGTATTTAAAAATAAACAAGCTCATTTGTTTTTATTTATTGAAATTCGGTTATATCGTTTCACCAAAAGGACATCAGGAGGTAAAGCGCCACGAAACAACCAATGAAATACGTATTTCATTTTCTATTTGCTAGTCCGATTGACATGATTGGCGTGAGCCAAATCTTTTTGCAAAAACTTTTTTAACCTTTCCAAATAGACGTTGTGTTGTTCAATATCGTTATGGCCCGCCCCTTCCACCCAAAGGGGTTCCACGGCCTTCTTGCATTTCTCATAAAGCAGCAGACCGTGATTAAAGTCAATAATCTCATCATCGGTACCATGAATAATCAAAACTGGAGATGAAACTTTACTAATCTTTTCGATGTTGGTAAATGCGTCAAAGAACCAAGTTCTCCTAGTATTCGGGAACGCAACCCGCACCCCTGACATGAGGGGCGAGTGCAACACAACCCCCCCAACTTCGTATTTCGAAGCCAGATCTACGGTGGGAGCGGTACCAATACTTTGACCATACAATATAACATTCTCTGGTCTTATACCGTATCGAAGTTTTAATGCGTGTAGAGCAGCTTCAATATCAGCGTATAAGTTCTTCTCCGACGGTTTGCCAGTGCTCATCCCATATCCGGAGTAATCGTAACTGAATATGTTACAGTTTACTCTGGTACCTAGTCCCACGTAGAAGTTACACATCTGTCCTAAATCCACAGCGTTCCCGTGGGAGTACAGAATGATATACTTGGGTTTCGAAACGCATCTTATGTACATGCAAGCTATTAAATTATGTCGCTTGGTTCTGGTGTAAAAACAGTCGATCATTTGTTCGTCCACGTCGCAAAAAATATTGTAGTCCGAGTCGTCGTTTGGAACCATGTAATAGGAGTCGGAAGAAGAAGTTTGGAAGTTGTACGTAGGACGGGGCGGCACGAACGCCAACTTGGCCACTATCTTACTGGGCCACGGGGGACAACAAAATAAACAGCATACTTCGTTTGCACTAAAAACACTCATACTTCTTATGGGAAATGATAAAATAAGTGAATGAGACAAGCACAGTGAGAAAGGTTACTGAAATTTTGACATGTAAAATATGACATGCTATTCAAATTTTGGAATCGTCAACACACACGTAGGGAAAAGAGGTCGTAACACACTGAATTTTATTCCCAAGGCGTTTGGTTTATCTCCAATAAAAATTGTGGTCATTTTGCGTTTTAATATCATGTAATGAAAGTTTTCATGTGCATGGATGAACCATGACATCTAGGCGCGATACGTATGCGCAAAAAACGATGGGTGTTTCTACTTCTACCTCATCGTTAAATATTATTACCTTTACCCTTATTAGTCTCCCTTACTTATAATGTCGAAAAAAAAATTGCACTTACATTTGCCCTCCCGTTCACTTACACTCTTGTCACACCACCAGAACGTATTTCTACCCCTTTTTGTTTACAAGTAATTTTTATAATACATAATTACTTGTTTACCGTTACTACCCTTGCAAAATGAATAATCCTTAATTGAAAAGGATACATGTATCTAGGGATCGTTCATAAAATACGTTCTCAAATAAGGCAGAGGGAGGGGTTATGTTTAGCTTGATGAGGGACGACAAGGGGGGAGGTGGTCTAAGAAAATGTAACGTTAGCATGTCATCATTGCTATTTTTAATTATAAGTAATCATTTATATTTTCGAAAAAGGTTGTTAAAGGTGTATGTGTGGAGCAGCACGGCATTGTACGGGTGCGAAACATAGACGGTGGGCGGGTAGAAAAGGTTAGAAATGAAGAGGTATTAAAAAGAATAGGAAAACAGAGGAAGTCAATAAAAAATAGGCGAGATAGGTTGGTAGGACACCTTTTCCGGCATGAAAGTCTAGTCAGAGACATATTAGAGGCAGAAACAGGGGTTAGGAGGGGTAGAGGTAGACCTAGATTAGATTACTGTTCGTAAATAGTTAAGGATGTGGGCTGTTCTAGTTTTAGGGAAATGCGAAGTTTAACTCAGGTTAGGAAAGAGTGGAGGTGTCCAACTAAGTCTTAGGACTGACGACCTTATGATGATGATGAATTATTTATAGGGGGGGCAGCTTTTGTGACGTAATATTTGTTAGGGGGGTCGCTAAAAGCGTGACGAAGGAGGGAGGGGTCCAAAAAGCTGAAATTCTGAGTGACGGATTTTATTTACATTGAAGACGGTATTCAGAAAAAGAGACGTATTTATTTATAGTAAATTACATCTAAACAACTATTTGTTATCGTTTTTTTGAAAACTTCAAAATACACTTTGAAAAAAACTATTACGACTATTTAAACATTAGTTATTAATTATCTTTCAGTCTTATCACAGTACAAAAATTCAAAACGGGGTACAAATATGTTAAATACTTTGTATCCCACGAGTCTACGACGTATCTTCATGATGGGGGTTACCATAGTTGACCAATTTAGCCAATTCAACGGCACTATACCCCAGCAGCTGTTTCAAATCGCAAACAAACTTATAAACGAACCTTTTACCATGGACTTTCGAGATCATGTCCCCGTCGTAGTAGTACCTAAGAGCCCTAGACAATTTCTCATAATTCATGGTCGGTTTGTTTTTTCTTTCGCCCCAAAGTTGGGCCACAACTTCAGGGTTACTCAATTTAAATTCACCGTCCTCCCCTAAAATACGAATTGACAAAAAAAAAAGAAAAAAAAACATTTACTAACTAATTACCAATCCAGTGTATGACGCTTTTGTACTCTCTACTGGTGAGTAATTCGAGCAAAAATTGCCAGAGTTGCGTCTGACCATTATTACCCGTCCTGTTGCCCACATTGGGGCTATCAAAGTAATGGACTGCCGTTGGATAGCAAGGCATTATGCGGCTCATCTACCATCAGAAACGCCATCGTTAAATGTAGCAACAATAGGGCAAAGTGGGGCAAAAAATAAGCTGACAGTTTTTATCTTTACAAGGATGAGAAGGGGTAAAAACTGGATAATATTAAACATTTGCAAATTCTCAGAATGAGATGAATGATTAAGGGAATAAGGAGGTAAAAACGAGGCAAATTTTAATAAATACATACGAGATGGTAACAAGGGTAACGTCAGTATTTTTTTTTTTGAGGTAGGGATGTCCCTTATTATATTCATGTACTCTTTTATTCACCTACCTTACTCTGTTTCATTAATTTAGGTTGCCTCTTATTAATATTTTCGGCAGACGTTTCGCCCATTTCAGCTTCAACCCTCATAGTAGCTAAAATTTTTTCGAATGAAAAGAAAATTCAGAGAAACAGAAACCCTACAAAAATTACACGTACTGACTAATTTCATTTTACGAAGAAGTTCAAAGTGAGTCCAGAAAATGTCGGCAGGGTCTTTTGTGACCACGGTTTTAAAATCTGCGTGGGTCATTTTAAACAAATCCCGTCCAGTGATTGACCAGTCCGACAGTTTAATGTTGGTCAAGTTAAACTGCCTGACTGCCCACTGGACCCAATGCTGAACGTGAACTACGTCCCTATAAAAATGTTTATAATTTAACAATAAAAACAAATACAATTTATGCTACCATTCTTCAGGGTCTGAAGGAATTTTTAACTTTTGCATTTCTTTTCTAAACGGTGCGTCAACCTGCCACTGAACAACATTCTGCTTTTTCTCTATTTTTTTAATTTCTTTGGCCTTTACTGGCGGAGAATTAGAAGCCTCCTCGTCTAAAGAAACATTAAAAAAACTATATAAAAATGGGACAATGAAGTGAAGCAACTACTGTATACCTAAGTCGATATAATCATCTGCCGGTTTTAAAACATCAATTATGTCTATTTGTTTTAGATTTGGTTGAATTTGACAGTTAATCTGCACCAACCCTTCACCTTGTACACACTGATCTACTAAATTCCTATCATTTTCTAACTGAAAATCCGTTAACATGTTACTACAATACTGTAAGATGTTTGTACTAATTGCAACTCACAAACTGAGTGCCCTGTAAGTAAAACGAATAATCTGAGAGGTCAATGTTCAATTTTGATTCTAACAAGTTTCTCAATTTTGTCAAAGGATCTCTTATATCCATGTATTGCATAATAACACCCTCATCACTGGTATCAATGCTCATCAAATCAGAGTCTAATTCTTGCATGAGGGAATCCTCAAAATCTACCACGTTGTCGAATTGATTAATCATCTCTAAAATAAAGCGAATACAGAGGAAAATTAAAACGAAATTAAGGGGGCTAAGAGTGTACTTTTACCTAGTTGTGTACCTTCAACTAAATTACCAGAAATAGTTGTCTCGTGTAAATCAACACCATTAGTGTTCATGCAATGAATATCCACTTCATTTTCCATTTTTACAGATATTTAAATATTATTTACAGATGTAATCTTTTTATTCAAAAATCATCGTAGCCTCTATTAGTACTTTTTATAGCAACCACTACTAATTACTAACCGAAAGAAGCATTAACAGAAAAGGAAATTTTAATGACCAATCTTTTAAATTCGACTTTTTCTTATAAACTATTTATAATAGACGCGTACTAGTTTTAAACAATTTCAATATGCACAATCTAAACAATATAACCTCAAAACAATTTCAATAACAACAAATAGAACTAATTAAAGTAGTTCCAAATAGTAGCCATATTTCTAACTGTCGTAGTTCGTTTGTACTCTCGTCAACATCAACTGTCAGTTTAAAAGGGTTAAAAATGGCAAATGCCTTATTAAATTTATTTCTCAAAAGATCGGTAGCCCTACCACCAAATAAATTATTAATAAAAGCTTCTGCAGCAACTATTCACACCAGGTAATACATTTTATGTCCAAAATAAGCTAATTAAACCTATCCAAAGTATTATGTAACGCATTTGAGGTTATATTTTGATTTTTATAAACCAAAAAAATCTTTTTAGTCAATCAAAATCAGCAGGAAAATGGTTCCCCGATGCAGAATTTATGAAACAATTCAACGGGCCCGTTATGTACCCTAACGAAGCAATTACTGAATGGGCTTTGCCCCCTTGGGAAAACAGGGCAGCTCCCACAGAAAAGCAAGTGAAAAACATAACTTTGAACTTTGGGCCCCAGCATCCTGCAGCTCACGGTGTACTACGCTTGGTTTTAGAATTAGATGGAGAGGTAAAAACAAAAAGTATTTGTTTTTAATTGTCTGATAAAGAAAATTGTAGCTAGTGAAAAGAAGTGACCCCCATATTGGTTTGCTGCACAGAGGAACTGAAAAACTTATAGAATACAAGACATATACCCAAGCTCTCCCTTACTTTGACCGTTTAGATTATGTGTCCATGATGTGTAATGAGCAATGTTATAGTTTAGCTATCGAAAAGTTACTGGGCATTGATATACCTCTTAGGGCTAAATACATAAGAAGTAATACAGCACTAGATAATTTATAAGGTTTACACAAAGTAATAATTGATTATTTTTAGCGCTGTTTGCTGAAATAACACGAATATTAAATCATATCATGGGTATTACAACTCATGCTCTAGATATTGGTGCGCTTACACCTTTCTTCTGGCTGTTTGAGGAAAGAGAGAAACTCATGGAGTTTTATGAGCGTGTATCTGGTGCCAGAATGCATGCAGCATATATCAGGCCTGGGGGAGTTTCGCTGGTATAAAATCAACATATTTGCAACCACTTCACAAATGACTAAAACATGTAACTATTCCAGGATTTGCCCATTGGACTTTTAGACGACATCTACGACTTTAGTCGTAAATTTAACGAAAGATTGGACGAAGTAGAAGACGTTTTGACCACAAACAGGCTTTGGATGCAAAGAACTGTTGATGTAGGGATCGTATCAGCAGAAGATGCCTTAAACTATGGCTTTAGGTACTACTAAATTATTTTTGTTACTTGAAACGATTAATTTGATTAAAATTTAGTGGCGTTATGTTGCGTGGATCCGGTATAAAATGGGACTTGCGTAAATCACAACCTTATGACGCCTACCATTTAGTAGATTTCGATGTGCCCATTGGAGTTAAAGGAGATTGTTATGATAGGTAAAGTGCAATACGTATAATTAAACGGTTTTTTAATAATTGGTCTCACAGGTATTTGTGTCGTCTAGAAGAGATGAGGCAATCTTTACGTATTATCGAACAATGTATCAATAAAATGCCCCCGGGAGAAATAAAAACCGACGATGCCAAGTTAACACCACCACCAAGGGCAGAAATGAAGGTAAATTAAGTCTGCATGACCTAATTATTTATCCGATATAACTCAATATAAATACTAATTTGGTTGTTTATTTTAAGACGTCTATGGAGGCATTGATCCACCACTTTAAACTATTTACCCAAGGCTTCCAGGTGCCCCCTGGAGCCACTTATACGGCTGTGGAAGCTCCCAAAGGGGAATTTGGTGTTTATTTAGTTTCTGATGGCAGTTCAAAACCGTACAGATGTAAAATTAAGGCCCCCGGATTTGCTCATTTGGCAGCATTAGATAAAATTGGAAAGAATCATTTTCTTGCAGATATTGTTGCTATCATAGGTACATTGGACATTGTATTTGGTGAAGTAGATCGTTAAACTTTTATAAAAGATAGGTGGAACAATATGTACATATAATAGTTAATTCAAACGTTGTAAAAGTGAGTTTCCCCGTACCTCTAATTAATAACAGTTACAGATTTAATTTGATGGAATTATTGTTATTGGTAATAAATTGATTTTTTTTCTCCAGTGCTTAATTATAATATAGATAAAACGTATTTTCTTTTCTGTACTTTACCTACATCTAATAAAAAAGATAGTAAAACTTTAAAACAATTTTCTTTTATATCTTAATATGATAGATGTTCATAAAAGGAAGGAATAGCGACGAAACGTTAAGAAAAAGTGTAATAAAAAATATAAAAGGCACTTAAAAATAAACTAAAATTCAAATAGTTTTTGAATTTTCTGAACCTTTCGTTTGATATTCTTATGGCGCGCGTTTTAGTCACAAGGCGAACCGTACGACCGATCGTGCCGCACTCTTTTAATGAACATAGAGGGCCAAGACCTGTTACCTGCTACCTAAGTTAACAAATTGCTATTAATTACACAAACTGGATAAACAGAACTCACTAGAATAATTGACTTTTCAATGTAAATATTTATTTATTACTTGTATAAAAAGTTACACATAGAAAAATAATTTTCTGAATAATTGAACATGAACGTGAAGGGGATACTAGGAAAAAAAATAATATCACAAATAGTAACGTGTAACATAGGCGTTTTTAAAAGCTCAGTACCTACAAACATATACAGAGCGTCTAATTTAAAGGAAACCAAACGAAGAAGTAGGAATAACATATTGAAATATTATTGTGAAGATTAATACTGAACGTTTTTTTTTTATTGTTATTATTTATTACATTTTAGCGTATGTGTATATAATTTGGCTACTGATATGTACCATAACTTTCTAAATATCCCCGTTATTTACGATCTGTAATTAGGCTCGTCTACTACAATTAACAAAAATAAAATACAAAACTAACTGTAACATAAAAAGCGATCGATAAAATAAATAACAAAATTTCGATAAAACGTTTTATAACCGAAATAAAATTTAATGCAGACTCATCAACAAAATTAATTTTCGATATCATCCTATTTTTGATTGATTAGATACTTGAAAAAGTAAACAGAATAAAGAGAGCAAATATTATTGCACTTAAGAGTCCTTCTAGAAAGAAATAAAAATAAATCTACACGTGTCTCTAATTCGGGCAGTTAATAACTGAAAAAAAAAAATTAATTAAGGGATCGAGAATCAAAAATTTCGTAAATTAAACCATGTAGAATCTATACTATTGTGGCACTGAAAACAAAAGCGACATACGCTTATAATCAATTGTCATTCATTGCAACCATTCACAGCCCCATATCTTAATTCCTGTAGTTGACATTTATTTATTTATTTATTTAATGGCACCGATTACCGAATTAGGACTTTTATTTTTAATAAATCAGTAATTTTTCCTTTTTTCATTCGTTCAGATAAGTTATCATTGTATCAGCACTATAGAGCGGATGACAACAAATGATAATTTGCAATTAATTATCCCTACGTGTAAAGAGTACAGCAAATATTTACTCAAGGAATTATTTACGCGATATATTATTTATAGGTATTACTTAATACTAAATATCAGACGATGAAAAGGAAATAATTAGGCAATACCATCTTAAAAATAGTAGTACTTTTTACCCTGAAAAAAAATCTTATACGTATTTTTTGGTTTTTGTTTTTACTTATTATGTACCTAATAAAAATAAATGAATACTTATTAGTACTACAGACGCCCAAAAGGGAAGGAATAACTAGGTACCTACTGTAAAAAGTGTTTATAAAAACGTGTTGTAAGTTTTGTATAAGACTTTTGTAAAATTATTAAGAAAAAAATATGAGAATTTAGAAAAAGATCTTTTTTAACTGTATAGTAGGGCAAGGAACCCAATAAAAGATGGTGCGTACATAGAAAAAGGGCCTCGTATAGTATCTTGTTCGATAGGCGTATAAAAATAGTTATTAGCGTTATTTTTTCATCTAATATTATTTTATACTTTGTATAATTTGAGCCAAAAAATGCAGACTCGAAATAAAATTAAATTCAAAATTATTTGAAAATTAAGTAACAATTCCTTATCAACAAACAGAAACTACACTAATAAAAAACATAATATTTCGTTTCGAAAAATCGAAATAATTCGTCCAACTGTTTAAATTATAGTTAATATTCTTTCAAATTTAAATTCCGCTTGCTCCTACATTATAGGCCACTATGCTGACGTGATCTAGTTTTCCGGGAAGGTTTTGAACCCTGTCGAGAGCCTTCCTCCTCCTTACCTTTTTCTCGGTTGACGAGACTTCGACCAAAACCCCATTGACATTATTATAATAAAGATCAACGTCTTCCAGCGTATGCCTTTTACCGGAGGTTATACTCAGGGTGAAATTTATCAGATTTTCGCACAACTTCCGGGCTGTAACACATCCCGAATCGTGACCAGAAATACCCCTTCGAACAATATCTTCCATCATTAGAAGCGTTAGTTCGTACCTCTGTACAGGAGAGACGTACGGGAGGCCTTCGTCGTTTCTCAAAATGGGTTTCGTTGTTGGCCTCATGTCGATTGACGTTTTTGAACGAAGAAATCGATATTTGGGGTTCTCTGCTATTGCAGTGGTGGATTTTTCCGGTTTTGGACGGCTGTTTGAGAACGAAAAGCCGATGGTTTTATTGCCGGCTGCGGCGCTTCGAACGTCTTTGGTTGTCTGTGATTTTTGGAGACCCGTAGAACCTGTTACACCCTGTTGGGTTCCTTTTCTACTACTACTACTAATAGTAATACTAACGCCACCAGTTTCAGTAGACGAACTAGAGGAGATCTTTTTATGTTGCGAGGACGATGAAGGTGTATGACTAGAAAAATCTCGTTTTGGTTGCTGTTGTTGAACAATGGGCATGGTTTTCGTGGTTCCCACGGTACTTTTTTCTTCCAAAGAGTTCTCTCTCATAAACTGGGCTATTAAAGGGTTCTCGAACTCGTCCTTGGTTTCGGATTTTTTCTGGCTTTCGTCGTAACTCTTTTGACTCTCACTTACAGAAGAAGTCAAACTCCTTTCGGACGAAACGCTCTGTCTGGAAGAGGAAATGCGTTCTTGAGATAATTTTTCTCGGTTTTTGCGCGGAGGTTTTTGCGGTGCTTTGGTCTTAACTGCAGGGACGTCTTCGTGATTTTTTAGAGCTGATTGGCCCTGCGTTTGCGTTTGTTCGGATCCCTCTTTCTTCTTGTGCAACAAACTTCTTTGAGGAGATTTTGAATGAGTCCTTTGGACGTCTTTCCTTTCTGTGGGTTTTTGAGTGGAAATGTGGTCTGAAGGACGAGGGTCGTTACCCGCGTGCTTTTTAGTTTTGGACGCATCCGATGTTTTGGTGTTGACAGCAAATTTACACACGATAGGGTCAAAGTTGTCTGTCAGTCCGTCACTGGCGACGAATATCAGGTCGCCTTTTTGTAATGTAGTTATGGAGAGAGTGAGATTGCTAAGTTCAGGGTTTATACCGTCAACAGGCCCCAAAGCCCCCAATGCGTCGCGCATGTCCCTGTTGCAATTAATGTCATGGGACCCTAAAATTGTATTAACAAATGAAAACTTATTTTTGTTTTCCCCAACAAAATAAATAACCCGTTACCTTTTGTCAATTCCCTAACTCCATATTTTTGAGAGTAAACGTACGCTAAAGTGTCGCCAACATTACAAACACAACAAACGTAATTTTCCACTTCTTCCTTGTTATTGTTATTAACAATATTACTCCCAGTCCTGTGGGTATTTCTTTTAAAGCTCTCATTTCTATTTTCTCCTTTGGAAATTTCCCTTGCTTCCGACTTTTTAACGTTTTTTTGTTTAAGGGGCAGAACCACGGCTACCGTAAGGGTCGTAAGCATGCCCTGATTTTCTAGTATGAGATCGTGGGCACAGTTGAAGGCCCTAAGAAGACATACAAACACCTCCCTTGTGTTGGAGATGTGACTCGTTTCAGCAGTTTTCGTTTTGTCCGAGTCTGTTTCGGATGTCTGATCATCATCTTTTATCGTTAGGTTTACAAAGGGCTTTGTGTCGTTAAAAATAGTCTTGTTGAGATAGTGAAGACAACCGTGAACAGCCGATTTGGCAGCAATACAAGCCTTTTCTCCTAACAAAAAAAAAACCAAGTGGAATTATTCAAGGTACCCAACTAGACAGAATTATCAAAAATACTCAACCAGAATCGTCAACGGTAGAAAACTAGAATTATTAAAGATACACAAATATATAGTTTTGTTCAATACCTAACTGGAATTATTAAAGGTATTCAAATGGAATTATTAAAGGTATTCTTAAGGAGTTACTCAAAGTATTCAACGGAAATGCTTGAAGATATTCGAATACAATTATTGAGGATGCCAAACCGGAATTATTAATGATTTCAAATTGGAATTATAAAAGATATTCATAAGGAATTATTGAAGGTATTCAACGGAAATGGTGAAAAGTATTCGACTAGAATTATTAAGGGTGTCTAAATAGGATTATTAAAGGTAACCAACTGGAATTAGTAAAGGTACTCGCGAAAGAAATTACAATTAAAGTATTCAAAGGAAATGCTAGAATTATTAAGGATGGTTAACTGGAATTATTAAAGATACCAAATCAGAATTGTTAAAAGGTACCTACTCGAATATTATTAGTAGTAATAAAAGCTTCAAGCTCGATTGTAATTTGCGCCTACAGTCTACCAGAAGTTTAAAGCCTATTAACGATTTCTTTTGCTTTCGCCCTTACCCCAGTTGACTCCATCTGCCACAGCAAGTATTGCAGAATCCTGTCTCGCAATAATACCAAAGCAGTCAGCTATAGGGTCTCCGTTTTTACTTTTTGTTACTTGATTTCTATCATACAACGAATCAGACAATCCGTAAACAAAATCCGACTTTTTATTCCATTCGTTCGGCAATTTCGAATCATCGATTGTAATTGTTGGACTGTTTCTAGTATCGGAATTAATTTCAGCTAAAATTGTATGATGATGTACACAAGCAAAAACTATGAGCACGAAGTATAACAAACAAATGAACAAACAAACAAACAAACGCATAACTTACAAGTAAATATTTATACTATTTATGTAGCATATTATTATAAGTATGTACACGCAATGTAAACAAAACATAAAACGAAAATACGAAACAATTAAAACGTTTAGCACTGTTGCAAATGCACTTATCAAAGACAAAATTAAAACTGAACCCATGCCTACATAATATATGAGTAAAAAGAAGCATGATATGGAAGCCAAATGGAGTTCTATGTCTAATCTGTGTTATACAATATAGAAGCCGATGGTTTATTTTATCAACTTTTGAAATTTTTGACTCCAAAATAATAATAAAAAATTTTTTTGTTAGGTACCAATAAATTTATGAGAGTTAATTTCAAATATGATCCGCTATGAATTCCAGATTTGCATTGTTTGTTGCATTTATTGTTAGATCATTATTTTGCACAAAAATGCAGGGAAATCTGACAAAAAAAATAACATCACACTAAGGGTTAAGTACATAAAATGTAAAAAAAAATTACTGTACGATTTTCATGCGTGTCAGGCATTTTGATTGCTATTGTAATTACCCGGGCCTGTGGTAGGTCTATGTGCTATTTTAATTATTTTGCCCTGTTTTCGGTGTCTGAATGGATTGCCATCGCTTTTCGACTTCGACAAATTATTGTACCCATGTCTGCCAGTGGCACCATCACTGTTGGGTTTCAACGTATTTTTTTCGCTTGCAGTTTTCGAATTTTCTTTACCTTTAACACTCTCGTTTCCATTTTTGAGATCGTCATCGTTATTATTATTACTAACTTTGCAATTATTACAGTTACTTCTCAACGAATTATCGTCGCTATCGGTACGACCGTTTAAATTTTTGTCGTTTAATTCGTTATTATTTTTGTTTTTTTCGTTTTGGTCTGTGCAAATCTTTGTCTTTTCAATTTCGACGTTCAAATCCGACAGGCTACCTAAGCTACGGCTTTTTTTGTGCCTTATCAATCTATTAATAACAGAATATTCCTGCCCTGCAACCTTTATTACCATAGTGGTGTTGTCCACTACTGTGTGCCCATTTATCAAAATTGCCGATTTTTGAGACTCGTTACCCACTATAAACATTCGAAGAAAATGTTACCACCACCCTAGTTTCCTTATAGATACACAATCGTGATGATATCATTAAAAAATAATTTGAAACTTACTATTTGTTTCTTCCTGAGTATCAATGAAGTCTATGTCGTCATCGGGCATTGAAAGATGCTTTTCGGTCCTTTTGACGGTCGTCAGACCACCGTTCGGCCCTGAATAGCACCCCAATATACTCTCAGACCCTTTGTTATAGTTGCCCAGATCAAAATTGGGCAAGTCAGTGGGATTTTTACCATACAATATTTGTGGACCATCTTTGAGCTTTATGTGACTATCAATAATTACTTATAAGTCAACAGTTAAACGTCGAAACGTAATAATTACAATGAAAACACCTAACAGTGGTACACTTACCCTTGAAGGTATTTATTGACCATGGAATTTTCGTCGAAATTTGTTTTCCTTTCTTTAGGTTCATTAATGAAACTTAGTTGTCTAAAATAACTAGAAACTCGTTTTCGAAGTGATGGCATTTTAATCGTTAAGAGAGAGAATTATATCGGAAAAAATTGTTAACATTTTTTCACTTCCTCTTGCACTAAACTAACCTTAAAAAGCTTTGTGTGACATTGCCCGTAAGCTTTGTCAAAGCCCAAATAATGTCAGAGGCTTTAAGCCATTTTTATCATTCTCACAATCCCAACAATAACAATATAAATTAAAGTTTCCAATATCAATTCTATGATCTATTTTAACTGTACTCGAAAGTTGTTAGTGTTGTACTAATTTTAATTAATTACATCACACAATTAAACAACTCAAACCTGGAAAACTAGAACACTCATTTTCGGACAATGGAAAACGTTATTTACCATTTTTATGTTACAAAATTTTAAAGTCAAAACCGTCAATTGTACACAAAATTCATTAGTGACATCATTGTTATTCCTATCGTTAACGAGATTACTGATAATTTTTCTAGTGTAGGAGGGCCTCAAGCTTAAAGAAATGAGGGTTGCCTACCGTGGAGCAAAATTATTCGAAAACCAAATAAATCCAAGTCGATTCAAACAAAGTTAAAATCGTAACCGAAATATTCAGGAAAAATTCGCATACTTTGTTCAGGATAAATTGAAAAACTCGCAAATTACTTCGAAAATAAAACTCCTATCTAAAAAAAATTCAGATACAATTTTGAAATACTGAACATCATCATCATAAGGTCGTCAGTCCAAAGACTGGTTGGACATCTCACTTCCTTAACTATTTTTTGTGAACAATAATCTAATTTATGTCTACCCCTACTCCTCTTAACTCCTGTTTCTGCTTCTAACAATCTATCTCGCCTATTTCTTGTTATCGGCTTTGCACCTACTAAACATAATAAAACAAAAATACGATTTCATAAAATTGCAATAGAAACATGCACCTAAATGACACGCAGTTTGTTTATTTAAGATAAAGTCAAAAACTAATGATTATGGCAAGTACACTTGGAAATTTCTACGGAATAGTTCAATAAGAATTTATTATAATAAACATATACTAAGAAAATGATTTTAATTATCGATTCTGCTATTAGATATTTAAACTGAAATTATGTAATCATTAAACGATGTCGAAACGTCGGTGTTGAAAAGAAAACGAAATGCTTCTTAAAGCTGTAATAACAGAAGTTTGCAGTCAGATGTCGCAGACTTTATTTGTTAAAGATAAGTTCAAAAACTAGTAAACTAGACGACCGACCCTGGATGCCAATAAGCATGATTCCACGCACAAACACTTCAAAATATTTTTAACGACGCTACAAAAAATAGAGCTATCAGTAATAATTAAGAAAAATTACTATCATTGCGAGATAAAAACAAATTTTTTGTGATATGATATGGGCCACGAATTTAACTTATTTGGAAATTTTTTCCTACATAAATACACCTAGAAAAAAATATAAGACCATTTTGCTTTCTAAGTAACACATAAAAAGTAGCAACGATGTTTAAACAAATATTGACGATCGCCCTTCTTGCATTGATAACGTATTGTTATTCACAACAATACACGTCACCAGGTCAGTGTGCAGACAGAAGAGTAAGACCGGTACGAAATTTACAATTCGAGAGGGTAAGTAAGTTCCTTTTATTTACTAGCTTCCAGGAGGCGATAGGGCATCATAACACAAGAAAATTAAATAAACGATGAACCACTGTTACATCTAGTTAATACGACCATATGTTGTAAAATAAATAAAATAAATACAAACATCATTCACGCAAGCCCAAATCACTCCAATTGATAAGGCAGGTAATAAATTAGACAGCAATAAGTACAGATCAATATCAATAACATCAAGCACAGCTAAAGTTTTTGAAAAAAGATTAAAAGAAAGGTTCGCATTAGACGAATAGACAACATGGGCTTTAGAGGAACAACACAAAATCTTATTCAAAGCTACCTTACAGATAGAACGCAAACCCTAAAAGTTGTAAATCATAACAGCAATCCGCAAAAAATCCCGTGCGGAGTACCTCAAGGAACTATACTAGGGCAACTGTTCTTCATCCACTTCATGAACGACCTATTCTATCTATAGATATCGAGAAATCGGACGTTTCAAATTAATTTTAATCATTTTAATTTAGTTTTAATTCATTTTGTCGCTATAAATTTGTTATAAATTAGCTACAAAATATGATTCCAACTGAATAATTTTCAGAGTTCTTCGAAATCAGCTGAAACGGGTATCTTAGCCTATGCCTACATCACATTTATATTAAGGGCCGTTTGTGACATAAATGTACAGATAAAAAAATTCATTGCAATTTTGTCTTAATAGTATGGGGCTACCGGAAGGAGATGGTACACTGTCTTTACACACAACACTGCGGGCGACTGCCAGTATATCAATCTTACGTTAACGTCAAACGTAACTGTCGATTTCTTTTGGGTAGTAAAAAATTTAACTACTAATACTTGGAATGGTAGGCCTGATGGTGTAATAACGTGGATACCGCCTTGTGGCACGCGCGATGCGATTTTAAGTACAGATTACGCCAATGCCACCAGTTCAATAATATTCTCAATATTTGGGATTGACTACGATGGGTACATGCTTCAGTACAGATGCGTCGATCTAAATAGCACAACAAGAACAGGTAACACAGTATAATATACGTGACACATTTCACACATCATAAATTTGGTAATGCTTTGTCATTTTGATTTTAGTCTAAGAGTTTTAATAAAAATAGAAAACGAAGCTCAATTTATAATAATGTGTATCATCATCATCAACATCATGAGGTCGTCACTCACATACTTCCACCCTCTCTTACCCTGAGCGAGTTTCCCTTAAAGTAGGACATCCCACCCACATCCTTAACTATTTGTGAACAGTAGGTAATCTAATCTGGGTCTTCCCCTACTCTTCTTAATTCCTGTTTCTATAGGGTTGTTCGAAAAGTCATTTCGTTTTTTTTTGTGGAAATGAAAGACAGTTTTCCTATAATAAACAAATACTTTATTAAATTATATATTGACCGTTCTGGTCCAACACCTTTTGCCATCTTTCTGGTAGTAGCATAATTCCACGCTCATAAAATTTTTGGTCTTTGCTGGCAAAAAACTGATC